CAAGAAATCTTGTGAAGGTGGCTCAGGTGAGCCTCTTAGAATTTCTAAAAGTTCGAGCTCTATCAACTTTAGTGAAGATGGCAAATCTTTGGGAATAGTCAAATTTGGGCTCTTTGCTCTTCCATCATCTATAACTGGGTTCACCTTGAGAGGTGACTCGGTTAAATCTCTTAAGCTTGGCTCCTCATCCCCATGTAGGTGGGTTGGCGAGGAAGTCTGGTGAAGGTGGCCCAAGTGGGCCCCTTAGAATTTCCAAAGGTTCATATTCTTTTGATATTTGAGGTACTGGCCCCTTGTTTGGAAGCGAAATGGGAGACTTTGGGGTGTTGATCCCTTGTTTGGAAGATGATCCCTTCTCGTTGATCTGGATCACATCAATTTTTGAAACGTCGTCCATATCATATTGATCCCACTTAAGTGGCTCGTCAAGGTTTTGAGGTGAAGAGCTTCATTTTAGCACTTGCTCATTTGCCCCCTCACGAGTTACTATCCCAAAATTAAGGTTTTTCTTGTCATCATGTGCTTGGGAATCCATAGCTTCAAAACATTGGTTGAGCTTATGCACGAGTTCATATTGCTCTTGTGAGTTTGATTCGTTGTCACACACATATAAACCATTTATTGTATTAACTTGAAAGTACGGGATGAAAGGTTCATATGCCCTAGTGTGACTCATGATAATGGAGATTTCTTGTGCCATTTTTTGGAGTGTATCTTGGAGTGGAATCTCATATGCAATACCCCTTTCTTCTCCCCCTTCTTCGGTTATGGGCTTGGAGCTAAGGTCATCCTCACTGCTTTGATCTTGATTATCCTTAGTCATTAACTCATGAGTGAGGTTATGCTCGTTTTGTTCTTCATCTACTTGACTTTCCAATTGATTTTTCTTGTACTCCAAGGCCTTTGTGGATGTTCTTCGGGTTTGGGCACAGCTTGTGATTCTTCTGAGTTAATCAAGTTGACATCAGTATTCTTTGTCGGGACATCTAGAGTTTATGATTCTTCTTTGTTGTCAATATCTTCGTTTATGACACTTATCATGCCGTTATCTATGAGATCTTGAACTCTATGTCTGAAAGCTCGACATTCTTCAGTGCTATGGGCATAGTTTTGATGTCAATCGCACCATCGAGATGTATCGCCTCTATGGAAAGGAGGAATCTTGGCTGCTGTCGGTTATTTTGTGAGCCTTGCCTTAAGTAATTTCTTTATGACATTGGTTATAGACTCATCAATGGGAGTGAATTCCCTTGGTGTGGAAGTTTGCATTCTCCATGTGGTAGAATGAATTTTGGTCTTTTCTTGTGAATGGTTTGCAGAATGGTTGCTTTTCTTGATCATGTTTACCTCTCCTTCTTGATAAGGTTTTTCAACTGCGACTTTATCTTCCTTGGCTCTCTCATATCGCGACACTCTTTCAAGAATAACATCAAATGAGTAAGAGACTGTCCCCGTACTGAAGAACGTGACATATTCTAGAGTCATGTTCTGTAATACCAAGCTTACCCTCGCAGCTTCAAGGAGTGGAGTTTCAATTACTCGTATAGCAGCCTCTCTGAATCTGGTTATAAACAAAGAAGGAGATATGCTCGATTTCTGTTTGATGGAAGTTAACTCACCAAGGGTGATGGGTCTTAACCTTCCTCCACTATAGCGGGAGGAAAATTGCTTGAACATTTCGTCAGGAGTTGCTCTAGGGTTATTGTTCATGAATCTTTGATGTCACATCAAGGGTTCTTCTGATAAGCTATGCGAGAACATGGTCTTAAGTTGGTTGGGTCAGTCTAGCAGTGTGTCGACCATCAATAAGTAGGCGTTGATGTGTGCCTCAGGATCCCCTTTTACTGAAAATCGGTTTCTGAACTGTAGCATCACAAACCCCACTGGTAGATCTTCTAGGTGTTCTAGAACTTCTTGTACATAAGCTTTAGGAGTTGAGAAATCCCATATTCTCATTTTCTCTAAAGAGTCTTGGAGGTGTTTTATACGAGCGAATTGAATCGTCGCTGAAGCAGTAAGCTGGCTCGGTTGTATGGTTTGTTTAAACCTGATTTTGTGGTATGTGACTCGTATGAACAGGCTGTTGGGCTTATGTAGCGGGTTGCCCCAAGGACTGAGCCTGAGGAATGTATTGAACTTGATGTGTCGGTTGTCGGCTTATAGATTCACCCGAGTTGAATTGGGTCAGAGTATACCCATTACTCAGAGGTTGCACAACTTGGCTATGCAAGGAGGCCTGCAGAATATAATCACTACTTAACTGGGATGGACGATTCAAGTTGTTATAACGACTAAACCTCTGACCTTGGGTGGCTAGGTCTACCTGACCCTGACCTTGATTGGATGATCTATTCCTAGGGTTAGGTTACTCTCTTGCCCCAGCACTATACTGAAAGAGTGAAGGAATGTCATAACTACTACCCGAGAGAGTCTGCCCTCTAGGTAGTCTTGGGCTCGAGTGATGATTAGAACTAGACCCCAGGCCCATAGTGGGTTGGATTGGCAGGCAAACAACCCTAGGATTATCCTGATTTGAACCAAAATGTTGGGCTTGGCCTATGGGTTGAGCTTGTGACCTTACATTCCTAGATTGAATGTGTTGGATGGTGTATCCTCTATTGAGGAGGTCTTGAAAGTAAGTATGAGTTAGGTCAAAACCCTAATCTTTACTGGTGATGGGTTGCTTGGATAGACTTTTCCTAGTTGTATGTGAACCCACTTGCCCACTAACTAGCTGATTGGCAAGACTGGAATGTTGGGCTGCTAATTGACCATCGGGGTTCACACGACTGAGTGTAGCTGACTCAGAGATTTGGGCCGAGATCTTATTCTTGTTGTGCCAACTGGATTTGAGGTTAACCCCTATGTCTTGGAGGATTGCCCTCGGCCTAACCCCTTGACTGATCAAGGTGTTACGAACCTTATCAACCTGTTGGCTCGTGACTTCTAAATGGTGGCCTTGAAGGTGGCTTGGACGATTAGGTTTGGTTCCATGTGGGTCGAGAGTTGGCTCACCGATTGAGTGTTATGAATGATTTGTGATGAAGCATTGCAGCGATGTCTCTCGAACTAACTAGGTTCTCTTGATCTAGACTGAGTTGAGGTCATAGGGTTGGACCTTGCTCTGCTATGATCCTGGGTCATGATTCCTAGACTCGATGAGATCTAGACTCGACGCCTCGGGGATACTTAGTTTGACTCTAGGGGAAAAACCCTAACTAAGACCTAAGCTAGAACCTAGACTGAATGAAATCTACTAGACTCGGTGGGTTTCGGTTTGGACCCTGAACTAGGGTAAGCCTAGTCTAGCTCTAGAAGAAATTCTAAGCTAAGACCTATGCTAAGATCTAGATTGAGATCTAAACTAGATCTGACCAAGAGTGGATCTAAGTTCGAACCTGGATGTGAGCCTAGTTCAGACCTGAACTGAACTGGGTGCAAGCCTGGGCTTGGACCATGAGAGTTCTGAAGATCAGACCGGGCGTGGACCTGAACTAGATCAAGGTTTATTTAGGCACGAGCCCCTAGCTCGAACCAAAAGGGTCCCTAAGTTCGAACCTGGGTATGGACTTGATTCGGATCTGGGCTACGCTAAGTATAAGCCTAAACTTAGACCTAGAGAGTTTTGATGATTAGACCAGGTATGGACCCGAACTAGATCAAAGATGAACTAGAAACATACCCTCGGCTCGAATCGAGAGGGGCCTAAGTTCAAACCAAGGCGAAACCTGATTCGGACCTAAGCTAAGCTGAGTACAAGCCTGAACTTGGACCCAGAGGGTTCAGCTCGGACTAAAAGCGAGCTCCGTCTACGATCTATAACCACAAAAATAAATAAGCACAACACACGAAAACTTTTGACCTAGATTATAGGTAGACTTGGCTTGAGAGTGGGTTCCTAACTATTGAAATGAGGCTAGGCCGAAATAAGTCCCCACATAGGCTCTGGCCTCCTGTTATAAGATGTGCACCAGGTCCTACTATGCACGGAATTGCTTTGAAGCAAAGGATTACAGAAGGGCGCTCACAGTTAAAGTTACATGAATCCCAACCGCCTCAATAGAAACCTAATAGATCATCATTAAACTTTGCATAGATCTATAGAAAAATCAAGTCCCACACCCATGTGATAACTTTTCTAGAAATTCATATCAACTTTAATAGTGATCTTTTAGGGTCCTACACACATGAATGAGGGAAGATCCTATAAGATCATTATTCATCGAAAGGTTTAAAATACATATCACTATTTTAATTTTAATTTTTTTCTATAAATCTAATTAATATGAAATTTTGAGTGTATATACCTAACACACCATATAAAAATATAAAAAAAGTATTTTCAATAATTTAAAATGACCAAATTAGCCCTACCATTTTTCAAGGGTATTTCGATCATTTTATATTTTAGAAAATAATTTTTATATATTTTTTAATTATGCACTCTATTTTTTAGTACATACATCTAAAATTTCATTATGATTTGCTTCGTAAAAAAAATATTCAAATTCATATAATAATATGCACACACTGATGTGTATATAAAGCCTAGGCTCTAAATAATCAAATTAGAACCTACCTTCAAATAGTGTCAAAAAATATGGTTTTAATATTGAAAATCTTTGTAAAAGCCTTAAAATATATTTTCTCTCTTTATTTAATATAAAGTTTAAAGCTTAAAAACTAGTGTAAATGGACAAATCTATGAAAACTTCAAAAATTTTGAAAATTGACGATCCAAAAATGGGTTACAAAATACACTATTTTCAAAACATGAAATCCATTTTTTCTCATATCCATGCATCTTGATTTCAAGATGATCAATTTGAGGATTTGAGCATCAAAACAACCTCTTCTAATGAAAATTTTGAGGTAGGTTCGAATTTAATTGTTTAGAGCCCCGGCAGTATATAAACTTTTCCTATATATATTTACACACTGGAAAAAGGAAAAGGGAAAGAGAGAGAGAGAAAGAGAAAGAGAGATGAATTGAGAAGTTTTTAGGAATAAATGATCAAGTACACTTGTGCTTTCCCACAACAAATTCATGGCAGCGAAAATAATGCTAGTAGAGGTTATTAAATGGGAACTTCAAATACAAGTGTCATTATTCAATCCGTATAATGTTGCTATTTCTGAGCTTCAACCTGCAAATATCCTCAAAGAAATCATCTGCACACTCGTGACAATTCTTCATCTGTGAAACCCTGATCACCATTCTTCTCAGTCTCTTGCTGTACTTAACCAATGACTCCAAAGTTGTCAGCTTTTGTTCTGCATTTAAGGGTGACCTAACTGTGACCAAAACTTGCTCCAGGCTTGGAATCATGAATTTCGAGTTAATCTGGAAAAAACACATCTTCAAATCAACATTCATTTTAGAAAATTTGAGTTTTTTGGGGAGGATAGTTTGGATTCAACTTACTCTTTTTAGGCTATTCTTTTGGCAAAGAGCAGCAAACATGGCTCCATGGCATTCAAAGTTGCAGAGTTTAGGATGCTTGCTGAAGAATTCAACAAAATCTATCTCAGGAAATGGTTGGAGTGTTTCTGAATCCCCACTAAATTCGATCTTCATAACCAAGTGTTTAACTTCAGTTGCAGATTGCAAAATAGATGTAACTGCATCCCAGCCCCATTGCACTCCTCTGATTGATAAATATTCTAAAGCTTCTAGCTTTCCAAAGTTCACTTTTGCCACTTTACCTGTGACACAGAGATAGAAAATAAGAAACATAAACCTAGAGAGAGAGACTGAACTGGAATGCAATGAACATATACAATTATTGGGTACACTCAATTGGGTTGTTCCTTTCAACTGGAATTCTGAGACAAGGCCTAATATTACCAATTTTTGCTCCAGATTCAATATTATCTTTCAAACTCAATTTGATTGAATCTCATGATTTATATAGATTATCACTCTCTAAAATAACTGTATTTCTCTCATCATGAAGAGGAAATATATTTGAATCATAGGCCTCTAGTTGGACAATAAGGAATTTCACAAAAGCAATAATTAAACCAACTTACCTGCATTATTTGCAATTGAAAGATATTTCAGAGAAGAATTCTGATTGACACGAATCCAGCAAGCCCCCTGAACCTCAAGCAGCCGAAGCTTTGGAGTGTCTAGAGAGAGAAAGCTATCACCGAGGCCATAGAAATCCAATCTAAACTCTTCTAACTTCTGCAAATCTATGGAAACAACCTTCGTACCATCACATCCAAGCAAGGATAAATGGGTCAAATTGGGACAAGCCCTAAGCGCCTCAGCCAAAGCATTATCCCTCAACCTTACTCCAATCATTTCTAGAGTGTGAAGGTTCTTGAACATGAACCACTTTGGAGAATGAACAAGAAGAACACCCCAAAGTTTCAGAGTCTCCAATCGAGTAGCACATCCTATACAATCAAGCTTTGTTCGGTTCTCATTCATGGGTTTCTTCTCATTTAAACTATCAAGGCGAAGCTCCAGGTGCTTCAGAGATTGGTGTACCCTTGATAACCAGGAAGACAGGCTCGAGACAGAAAATGGGCAGTAAACAACCAATCTCTCCAAAGAAGTGGTGGAAGTGATCATTTGAGTGAGAATGGAATCAGCAGAGTTGGTCCTTTCATCAAAGGAGTTCCGAGGGAAATAGAGGCTTCGAATGTAAGGCATGGCTTCTTTCCATCGATTGGAAACACAGGAGCAGGATGCTACATCCTTAGCATGGCTTATGAATGAGAGGATATACTGGAGTATTGCATCAGGAAGGTCATCCATTTCCATTTCCTCTGTCTCTGATCCCTTTTCAGTTACTTCTTCAATTTTCTTTTGTTTTCTTGAGTGTCTCATAAAGCTCTGCTTTTAAATTTGTTTTGCATATGAACTTAACCTGCTTCAAAACAGTTTTTAAGATTAATCAACAAGTACCCCAAATCAGCAAACAGAAGTATAAATGTTATTTAAAGAACCAAATAATCAAGGGGGGAAAAAGGAACAGTAAGAAGTTAAAAACACAAGCATAAATGTCTTTGAAGAGAAGGCAATAAGTCAGTACCGAAAGAGAAAGAAGTGTAAAATCAAAACTTGAACATTATAGAAACAAGGCATTAACAGTCAATTTATTGCCCAAACGAAATATTGAGAGACCCAGTCTCAGGAAAATCACACACACACAGAGAAAGGGAGAGCAAATCAAAAAATGGAATAAAGAAAGAAAATATCGAATAAAAAGAGATTCAAAATTGAATGATAGTCAGATTCAGCGGGGGATTATTAGTCCGCCAAGATGAAATAACCATAAGAAAAAGATACATCAAAAGAGATAATGTTACTGAAGCAAAACTAAAGTTCAGATGATTGGGAATCCGCATCGACCAATGTATGATATTTTGATCTAAATCCTTTTAGCGATGCGCAAACAAAGAATAAACGCTAGAGAGAGCGCTACACTTAGCCTAAAGGAAGAAAATACAGAAAATCAAAAGAGAAAAAAGGGGAAAGACTGTAACAGTGACAAACCTGAAAAGGGTCGGATTATCCAACCAGAGAGTTCACAAAAAAGCCCATTTCTCTCTTCAATCGACAGACACAACCCATCTACTCTTTCATAAAAAACACAAGATTTATGATCACTAGTAGGTCTATGGAGTTCTTAAGTAGAGCTTTTCATGAAAGAGAAAACATTTAGAGAATGAGCTCCTTCTATATAATGAATCAGGAGAGAACAGAAGAGAGAGAAAGAGAGAGAGAGTCGTTGTGGAGAAGGTGGAGAAGGGGCATTATAATATGGAGGCAAGCATTCTTTTATTATACAAGATTGCAGGATCGTATATACGAGAGATGAGAGAGAGAGCGTAGGGCTTTGTAATTTCAAATTTCAAAACGTGAAACTTAGAGAGAGAGAGAAGGGTTAGGCGGACCGCGCAGTTCAAACTTTCGAAATTTTCGACCGTTTGCCGGGCGCCCACGGGGTGAAAAAAATACCAACGGTTTGAAACTTCGAATTTCAGTGCCTTGGGGAAAGAGCGCGAAAAGACTAAAATGCCTTTCTCGATATTTTTTCAACCTTTGTAGAGAAAACGCCGACCGCAAAAATTTGTCCTATCTTGCAAACTTATTAGTCATGCATTTGTGAAAGTCTCTTTTTTTACCCTCTAATTAAAGTTTTTTCTAAAGGAAAAAGTTTATACGAGGATGCTACCTTACAATGCATAACTACGGATGCCCCTCCAAAATCCATCGGCAAAGGTAGTTTTAATGTTAAAAACATTTTGGTTGATCATCTCGGCATCGATACGTATGACCATAAAAAATAAAAAGATTTTAAGTCTCATAAATAGTGATTTTACAACATATTATCTATACCGTCTATTTTCAAGATTTTCATATGTTTATAGATCTACTTGATTTTAACCATTTTTTAAATTTAAAATTTTATAATTAGATATAAAAATAGATTTTGAGATAATCCTAATAAAA